TTTGTTAAGTTTATCATTAATACTAAGGTTTACTTTTCTCCCAGTACTAAGGTTCACTTGATTACAAGAATGTTTGTCAATATATATCCAATTTAATAATTGGGACATATTTTTTCTTTTTCACTTAAAGAGAGGGAATAACTTTTTTACTTGATCCTGTTCCTAAAATCGTGTAATTAGTCCAGCGATCAGATTTTAGTCTTTATATGCGTGTAAGGGATCCAATCTAGACCTTGTCTCCAGTCATGGCCTTTTAAGTCAAATGACCAACCAACTACGTTAAGTCTCGGGAAAACTTTTTTACTTTTATTAGGAATATATGGTATAAACACTAGAATTATTTCTAATATTTATTTTAAGTAGATATATAAAATTAAAAGGTGAAGAGCTTTTACAACACAATGGGAGCATTTGTACATATATACATATGTATGTATGTATGAATATATGTAATACATAGTATATGTCGCACTAATGATCTATGTCATTGAGTTTGAAAGTGTAGGTTGCATATTTATTGAATAAAGTTTCGACTATGAATGTGTATGGAGTAAATTCTGTTATTATGTAACAATAATCTGCAAATCACACTAGATTAAAGATTCGATCCGTCACACATTTTACGGATTGAGACCGGTTAGACTATTTAATACAAGTTTTTGTCAAACTTAACATGTTAGATAATATTGCCCATTGGTGTATAAGCCTGATTTTATTCGACAGTGATGAACTTTTTGTCTGTGGTATGTCTTCCTTTTCTATGGCACTTTTATTATCTTTAATTATTGTTATGATTATTATTATTTTCACAACGTCGACACGTCGTCGTTGGATAATTCTACAGGACACACAGCCATGTCTAATATGAATCAATTAAAGCAAAATATATACAATATTGGACTTCAACTTTAGTTTCTGTTGCAGAAGTGACATGTCCAAGAAGTCATGAGTTGACACATTATATTTCTATGGCTCATGCATATATGTTTTCTTTTCAAGTTAAAATTGAGTTTATCTCCTTATAAAGCTATTCGGGTCTTATTCGTCATGATTAATTGATACTATATATATATATTTAGACATTTCACATACAAATTAATTAATGAAAAGTACTATTTGTACTCTCAACTTTTACTCTCTCTCACAAATCTTAAGTGTATATAACTACTTTTTCTAGACCCACAAGAAGAATTTTGGAGTCTCGTCCACACGAGCTTATTTATTCAATTGTTCAGTATGCAGTATTTAGCAGATGAGATCGTGGTTCAAACTTAGGACGACAGTGTGAGGATTATGCCCAAAGTGAACAAGCTCAACGTTGTTTTTTTCTTTCGATTTGATACTTTCAAATAATTACATTTTTGCTCCAAAAGATGACAGAGCGGATGAAATGTGATTCTTTAATTATCAGAAGTTTACAAATTAACTCCTGTCAACATGCACCCTCTAAATCAAATCAGTGACACATAATCTTCCTAATACAATTAACCTCTTTAGTGTGATTTACATACTATTACAAACATCAAAATTTACTTACTAATGCACACCCTAGACATATTTCTCTTTTCACCCAAAATAATTACATTTTTTAACTTTTAGTCATCAATTTTCAACTTTGAAATATCTTAACTTGATCCTTACCGGGCCATCAAACTAGAGTGGGTCAATCCACTAAACCCAAATTTACAGTATGGGCTCCCTAAAAGGCTGGCATGCACAGACAATCAGACATCATTTTCACGTTGATAAAATTAAAACAACTGTCTATAAACATGGAAGTAATACTAGGATGAAAAAAATGCAGTACTTTTACTAAGTGAAATCTATTAATGCACACAATTATATTAAGATTAATGTTATTGAGAAGACAAGCTCCTTATCCATACACTATCAGCTACAACTCCTTCATCATCATCATTTCTGTGCCATGTCCACCTTGCATGGCTTCCATTTACCACCTCTAGCTCTCCATGCCCAAAACTTGCTTCCCTAAACAATGATATCTTTGGTTGTGGATCTATATACCTGCAACAATATCATCCAAATATAACTTACCCTAATGATGTTACCTAATGAACCAGCTTTGATTGATGTGAGTGGCCGTGCACTCTTGTCCATTAAGAGAGGTCGAGAGTTCGAACCATCTCATATGGAAAAATCAATCTGTCAGCACTTTGCCCTTTAATTGGATCAGCCTGGTGCAAACGGGAATTAGTTCGTGCCCCTTAATTGGGTCAGCCCCTTAATTGGATCAGCCTGGTGCAAACGGGAATTAGTCTGTGCCCCTTAATTGGGTTAGCTTGGTGCAAACGGAAATTAGTAGGTACAGGCTTAAAGGTGTTAGATCTACTCAGAACACCTCGTGGTCGGAAACAAAAAATTGATGTTACCTAATGTAATTGAAAATTATTATAAACAAAACTTACTTGGTGGCAAGGCCTTCAAGATTACCCCCATCCCCAATTGTGATATACAATGGGCCACTATCGTTAGCTTCTTCTTTGTAAACTCGAGTGAAGCGCTCGTATGCATGAACATGGCCGGCGAACACGATATCCGTTTTAGCTTTAAAGATCCAATCTTCCATGACCGCCTTCATGTGGTCGGCATGGTACTCTCCTTGATGAGCAGTATTGGAGTTGTACCAAGGCGCATGCACAACCACAATCACCCATGGAGTCTTCGTTCTGTCAACTTTCCCCAGGTCCGATCGGAGCCACCTGTGCTGCGCCGTTCCGGGCCAGAAATCGGCGTAGGTTCCCAGCATCACGACATGAACGCCGGCGACGTCGAAGGAGTAGAACAGGTTGGAGCCGGAGCTGCTTTCCTCGTACGGCATGTGCCATCTTGCGTTGTAGGCGGTGAATGGGGTTGTGTGGACGTCTGGGACGATTTCGTACTCGTGGTTGCCCTCCGTCACCATCCACGGCCGCCGGCTCGCTTGCGCCTCCACCAGCCGCCCGTACGAGTCCCACAGTGATTGGTTCGTCTCGGCGTAGGACAGGTCCCCCGGCAGCAGCAACATATCGTAGTTCGACTTTCCGATGCGTTCTAGGGTTGTTTTGGTCCACTCCGTTTGTCCTAGGTCACCTATTCACCAACAAAACAACCTCAAAATAAAGCTCCATGTAACACGTGAAAGAGTGTTGGCAAAAATAAAGCTCATCACTTTTAGGTACAACAGTTATACTTTATTTACTTGATCACTCGTTTCAAATATTTCAATGGTTTGAAGAGTAATAATCATGGTCTATTTGAAGTCCGTCTTGTGACAAAATTAAACAAAATATCACAAGAAAGTGAATCAACCAATCTAGATTTAATTGTGCATAATTGATAAGTTTAAATTGAGAATAACAATAGTCACACTTAGAATTTTGTGGAGCCAACTGTAGTTCAATCAATTTGACTGATATTACTCCAACCTGGTCCATTTGCTAACATATAGAAGTCACGTGTTTGGAACTAGGGTTTATAAGCCAAGTTTCAAACATTTTCTATCAATCTCGTTATTAGAGATACTAAATTTACAGGTTTTTTTAATTTTTTTTTTTTAACAATAATTAGAAATTATATCCTATAATAGATAAAATTGAGGTACTAAAAGTTGAAATTTTCTTATATAAAAATAGATTTATGTACCTATGACGGCGAATTTGATAGGGAACCAAGGTGGTGGAGTTTTGAAGCTATACTCGGTGGCTCCGCCGCCGCAACGGTAGTAGTAGACGGTGCTTGGATTCAGCGGGCCGACAACGACCTCGTGGATTTCGCCGGACTTGTATTGCACGTAGGTATAGTTTGTAGTACCGCCGTTCACAGAAAACCGGTAATTTCCCGGAGACGTGCCGTATTCTACTGTTGCCGGCGTGCCTGAGTCTTCCGTAATCCATGAAATCCTCATTCTATCCTTGCCGACCACCGATATGTGCACCTGTAAGAACACAACTCATTTCAACATCGTTTTGTTTTACGAGGTCGCTTTATCCCATGTTTCAGAGATGATCTTGTCCGACCAATAGTTACCTGTTGTGGAGATGAAGAGGAGTCGCGATCTTCAGACAGCGATACGAAAACGGTCTCCTTTGCCGGCCGGCGTTGGCAACAGAACACGAAATGGAAGACGGCGATGACGACGGCGTTGGCTAAGACAATAAACACTGCCCGGCGGTACAAACCCGCCGCCGCCGCCATTGAGAATCGCAGAGAGCTAGATTCGCGTGCCTTGTCGGGATCGATCCGAGGTTAAGCTTGCGGAATAATTTTAATTTATGGAAAAAACTTGAAACCACTACTCTGGAATTGAAAAAAGTTTTTAGATTTAAGATTATAGATTATTGATTTGATATTAGAATAAAATTATATATATAGTAAAGTTGTTAGTTATTGATTCGTTGACAATTTGAAATTATATTGTTATTATAATAAAAAAATATATTTATATTTATTTACGAAATACATTAGAAACATTTATTTTAAATTGATAAAATCTAAAGGACGTTATTAGGTCTAACCCTTCAATTAAAGAAAGAAAGGAGCGGTCAAGTCCTTAGTCCATACCCAAGTTGGTTAATAGAAAGACATTTAAGGCTCTAATCATATACAATTATTTACCGGTATGGGTATGAGAGATTTGGTATAAAAAGATCTAGATACCTATAAATCTTACTCTTTTATAACTAGTGATAAAATCCACTCTACTAATATTCAGGTAGAGTGAACGATAGACCCCTTGATTGAATACATATAATATTTCGTGTTCAGTTGAGTTACCATGACGGCTCTATTGGGTCGGGGTGACCGGCTCGAACTCACAACCTTCCAAATGAAAGTTCAACCCGAGTACCATTAGACCACATAGTCTTGGTACAAAATCTTCTTAATATGATTTGTCTCTCTTATATAATTATTATTATTATTATTAGTGCTGCTGCTGCTTTACAATTGTTATTAGTTATTAGTTAATTGTACTAGCTACTACTACTTTACAATTGTTATTAGTTAATTGTATTATCCCACCCAAAAGCATTGTCTATAAAGGTATATATATGGAAAGAAAAGTAGGATTAGTAATGCAGAACAATTACTAAGTAAAATCTGTATACAAGATTAATGTTGAGAGGAGAAGCTCCTTATCCATATACTATCAGCTACAACTCCTACATCATCCTCATTTCTGTTCCATGTCCACCTTGCATGGCTTCCATTCACCACCTCTAGCTCTCCATGCCCAAAACTTGCTTCCCTAAACAATGATATCTTTGGCTGTGGATCTATATACCTGCAACAATAATACCATCCAAATATCAATAATCAATTTACCTCCTCCATCTTGTTGTGGTCGAAATTTTCTGTCTCCCTTCTTCAAAGAATTGCATCTCAACTCCGAGAATCCTATCCTAAAGTAAATGATAACAGATATACCTGGATAGATATTTTTAGTGGCACCAAGTGACTTTATCAAGTGGGAGGTCATGGATTCGAGCCCTAATATGGGCGATATTGACATTTTGTGCTTAAGACAGAGTTTTACCGATCAGTTATTAGTAACTTAGGCTGGACTTTCCTCTGAATCTAAAAAAAATGAAAGAAACTTACTTGGTGGCAAGGCCTTCACGATTGCCGCCATCCCCAATTGTGATATACAATGGGCCACTATCGTTAGCTTCTTCTTTGTAAACTCGAGTGAATCGCTCGTAGGCATGAACATGGCCGGCGAAGACGATATCGGTTTTAGCTCGAAAGAGCAACTCTTCCATGGCGGCCTTCATGCCGTCGGCTTCGTACTCTCCTTGATGAGCGGTGTTGGAGTTGTACCAAGGCGCATGCACAAGCACAATCAGCCATGGAGTCTTCGCTCTGTCAACTTTCCCCAGGTCCGCCTGGAGCCACCGGAACTGCGCCGTTCCGGCCTCGAAATCGGTGTAGGATCCCAACATCACGACATGAACTCCGGCGACATCGAAGGAGTAGAAGAGGTTGGAGTCCGATCCGCTCTCCTCGTACGGCATGCGCCATCTTGCGTTGTAGGCTGTGAAGCGCTTAGGGTGGAGCACCGGGATAGATTCGGTCTCGTGGTTGCCCTGCGTCACCATCCACGGCCGCCGCCGCGCTTCCCCCTCCACTAGCCGGCCGTACGAGTCCCACAGTGGCTGGTAAGTGTCGGCGTACGACAAGTCCCCCGGGAGCAGCAACATATCGTAGTTCGATTTTCCGATGTGCTCCAGGGTTGTTTTGGTCCAGTCCGTCTGTCCTAGATCACCTTTTCACCAACCAACACAACCTTTAAAATTCTCTCATTATTGCTAGGATTGAAATCAAATGAGAACAATTGTTTATTTACCCCTTACATGCGGAAATATGTAATTATTAAGGGTATTTTCGTCATTTTCAAATTATGACCCAAATTTAAATATGGGATTCAAACCCTAAGATTGATCCGAATCAGCAGTTTTCTTCTTCAATTTAAGGTAGGGTGAGGAGGAGAACTGTGAATTGCAATAGATTTTAGGATTTAAATCCTTTTATTCATGCTAAAATTAGGATCTTAAGTTGAAAATGACGAAAATACCTTTCAAATTTTAGAGTTAAGCATGTTTTAAACGAAGAGATGACCAACTTAATGAATTTTGGTAACTAAACAATAGTTGAGCATGAAAATTGATACTAAAATAATAGTTATGGATGAAAATTAGTATAAATTAAACATGTGAACCAAAACTGTTATTTTGTTAATACTCGTAGAACCAAAACTGGTATTTACTTTATTTTTGTAATTGCAATCAGATATTAGTATTTTTGTAATTGACAATTTCACTATATATATATAAGTGGTTCTCATGTGATCATACCCAGGATAATATATATAAATATTGTTGTGTACCTACGATGGCGAATTTGATAGGGAACCCAGGTGGAGGTGTTTTGAAGCTATATTCGGGGGCTGAACCACCGGAGCCGCCGCAACGGTAGTAGTAGACGGTGTTTGAATTCAGCGGGCCGATGACGACGTCGTGAATTTCGCCGGACTTGTATAGCAAGTAGGTATAGCTTGTGGTTTCCCCATCTGCTGAAAACTGGTAGTTTCCCGGAGATGTGCCGTATTCTACCGTTGCCGGCGTGCCTGAATCTTCCGTAATCCACGATATCCTCATTTTGTCATTGCCCACCATTGATATATGCACCTGTAAGTGCACAACACATTTCATCATTTTTTCCTTAAGTATGGATAACAATTGTAATTCGAATCCTACCAGTAAAAGATCGCAACGAGATTGATGGATTTAATTAACCCGGGGTGGACCCGAATCAATAAACCCGGATAAAAATATATAATAAGAATAATAAACGAATAATATAGAACGATGTCGTAAAGGTCGCGGTGGACCGTATATTATATTAATTGCCATAGTATTTGGCTATTACAAAGATTCGGTAGGACAAAAGTGTGTAATAATCGTATAATGTGGAATGAATTGCCCTTTGTTAGGACAAGGAGGAGGATTTTTATACAGGCAAACCCCTCCAACTGCCTCCCCCTAAATCGGGGGTGGTTAGATCTCAGCTTTGACCGGGCCCGAGTGGACCGGGTCGGGTCGGGTCCCGAGCCCGGGTGGTGCCGAGCTCGGGTAGGACCGAGCTCCCTGACCCGAGCTCCCCGTAGGTCGGCTCGGGTCGGGGCACCTCCATAGTGCTCCGGGTCCGCGTTGCGCTTGGGCACCTCCGTAGTCCCCGGGTCCGTGTTGCTCCTGGGCACCTCCGTGGTCCTCCGGGTCCGTGTTATTCTTGGGGACCTCCGTGGTCCCCCGGGTCCATGTTGCTACCCCGGGTCGGGTCGGCAAATTATGCTATGCGCACGTGCGCACCTTGCAAGGTGCGCACAACGCTAAAACGGCGTCGTTTTCCGTGAAAACGACGCTATTTTAACTAAAAAAAAAAATTTGTTCGAAACGCCGTTAACGGCATATTCGTTATGAAATTATGAATATACAGTTATGACATTATGAATGTACAGTTATAGAATTATGAATGTATAGTTATGGAATTATGAACTTACAATTATGAACATAGAGCTTCGAAAATTATGAATGTTCGGTATGGAATTATGAATATACAGTATGGAATTATGAATGTACAGTTATGGAATTATGAATGTACAGTTATGGAATTATGAACATAAAACTCTGACATAATGAACTTACAATTATGAACATAGAGCTTCGAAAATTATGAATTTACAGTTATTGAATTATGAATGTACAGTTATGAAATTATGAACACAAAGCTGTGAATATATGCTCCTATAACGAAGCGGTATGAAATTAAATTTTTTTTTTAAAAAAAAAAAAAAAAGAGGGAAGATAACGGTGCTGACGGCACCGTTATCCGTGCCCATGAAGCACGCTGGGCACGAGCCCACAGCATAACTATCCGGTCGGGTCGTGGGTATAATATATCCATCAGAGATAAAAACAGTCTTCAAATAAAAAAGAGTAATAAATTATTTCTTGTTAGGATCAAACGTTACCACTACACCAACAACTATAACTAATAGAGAAAATATAATTTTATTTCCTTATATTACCACACATTTTTGAGATTGGTTTTCAATTCATAAATCATACTCATCTTAAAGTACTATTGTCAATACTAGAAATTAGATTAATTATCAAACACTTTGTGTTCAGATGGCATGTAGTGACTCTTCTATATGGGAAGTGATGAAATCGAGTCTCAGTGAAGATAATATTGACTTTTTATACTACAACAGATTAAAATAGTATATGAACTGATACTACAATGTAATAGAGTTTTAAAAAAAATTAGATTAATTATAAAAATATTAGACTAGAACACAATCTTCTAGGTCAACGTCAGTAGGTGTTCAGGCATGGACTATAAATGCATATATACGTGTGAATACACGGCAAAACATTGCATGTGGATGCCAACTCGCCTACCGTCTAACAAAGTTACGTTACAAGAAATTTGTCGATGAAATCAATGTAGTTTTAACACTTTGTAATAATTATATATATTTGCCAACTAACAGTGTTACGACGTCGGTTTATCCGACAAAGAAATTAACGTAAGCTCGCTTTTACATTAAACGACGCCGATAAACTGCAACCCGTGATTGATTGGAAATAATCATTAATTACCATAATTAACGTTAATAATCATATTACCATATTACAGATTACGGGTCTGCACTCTGAACTCTCAAGTATGAAACACTTACCTGTTGTGGAGACGAAGAGTCTTGATCTTCCGACGGCGGTACGAAAATGGACGCCTTCGCCGGCGGCCGCTGGTAAGCAACCGCGAAATGGAAGCCGCCGAGGATGACGGCGGTGGCTAAGGCAAGCACCGACCGCCGGTCGTTCAAACCTGCGGCCATGGAGACGGGTCTGAGAGAGCGAGATTCGCGTGCCTTGTCGGGATCGATCTGAGGTTTTAGCTTGAAATGCGGAAGGATTGTGTTCGCCAGTGTATTTATAAGAGCAAGGATGGAGTATAGTACAACTTGAAGGGAATATTCTTGTAAAAAAAAATTAAAAAAATACAGTGTACAAAACGGAATATACTTTGTTAATTAGTATCGTTTAATTAATTGGGGAATTATTATACGAGAGATAAAAACTTGTGTGTGAACGTATTAAGAATTTTGGTTTTTGAAACTGGTCTGAGTCTAGAAAAATGGGTGTGTAAAGGTTACAATTTCATATATAAGTATTACAATATTCGGAGTATATCATTAGTAACAATCGTTTTGTCATAAATAATATCATAAAATACTTGGTGTACTTCTATTTTATACTCCTTACTTTTACTCCCTCTCACATATTTTTGATGTAGATATTTTTCTGTGGACCCATATGATGAAAATGACCAATCATAGTTTGCCACCTTAGGGAGTAGAATTTGGGAGAACGCATAGTAGAACTCAGTAATATCACAATCTCACAAATAAATATTACAATATTTATTATAAGCAACAATTTATTTATTTCAACCTGGGGGTGTGGTTGAGTGAAAGCGATTCATCCATCATTAACTAAACGTTAAGGGTTTGATAATTGACTTTATGTATGTAACATTTTTAAATCTTCAGGCCAGTTGTCATACCCAATAGAAGTGCCTACAATTCAGCGATAGAATTAGTCAATGTGTCCGACAGTAGAAATTATGTGCCACACTAAAAAACAATTTATTTATTTCAAATTAGTACGGAGTATTAAATTTTCTATAATAAGGATTATAATTTCTATATATTATCAGTAACAAACAATTATTTCTTATTCAACTTATATCTCGTAAATTAAGATCTGTGAGACAATCTTATAAAAGTGTGAGACTGTGAGTAATACGAAAATATATTTTTATCTAACGTATATTACCTATAATGACTTGCAATTTCCTTATCAGCCAAAAGTGTAATATATTGCAGGTGTTAATAATTGTTCTTTAATCTTTATCGGCAAATTATGCCTACGGATGCAAAAACGACGTAGTTTTGCATCAAAATGTCCTGTCTCACTTTTTAAAAAATCAATTTCGATTCTCAGTAACAACATTATGTTATTCATTTTTTAGTTCATTCATTCTGAATTTTTAGTTATGAAATTCTGGATGCGTAGTTATGAAGTTATGGATGTGTAGTTATGTAATTCTGGATTTATAGTTATGAAGTTATGGATGTGTAGTTATGCAATTCTGGATGTATAGTTATGAAGTTATGGATGTGTAGTTATGCAATTTTGGATTTATAGTTATGAAATTATGGATGTATAGTTATGTAATTCTGGATGTATAGTTATGAAATTATAGATGTGATGAAATTATGGATGTGTAGTTATACAATTCTGATTTTTTTTTTTTTAAGTTAGACGTCAAAACGACGTCGTTTTTGCATCCGGATACATCATGCATGGTGCATACGGATGCACAGCATAACGCTCCATCTTTATCCATATAAGCTAATAAGCTAATTATTTTATTACTTGCAATTTCCTTATCAGGCCAAAAGTGTAATATATTGCAGGTGTTAATAATTGTTCTTTAATCTTTATCCATATAAGCTAATTATTTTACCCAAAAATGTAATATATTGCAGGTGTTAATAATTGTTCTTTAATCTTTATCTATATCTGCTAATTTTAAAGATTTACCTAGTTTAATTTCTATATTTAAAATTCTTCATTATAAACTTAAACTTTAGTTATATCTTATATATTTTTATGAAAGCTACTGACTAGAACAAATAGTCAATACTACCTCCAATGAGGCTTGACTTCATGACCTCTCATATGAGAGAGTCACTATATGACATCTAAGCACAAGGTGCTTGATAAATTTTAGTTATATTATATAGTAAATCTCATTCTTAGTAATGGTTTTATTGTGATGGGGTCCACCATAAACCGGTTATAGAGGTACAGAATGAGAGTAGGAAAATAGTAGCTTTATTACCCAAGGCGTTAGACCTAAAATAGTACATACAAAGCCCAAGGTACCCAAAAGGATGTGCTATAGCTAACTATGCCACTGATAAGTGAAAAGAATAAAACTCAGGCGACTAGACTAAGAATACAAGACTTAGACCGCTAGACTATAATGTTTGTCGTGTTCATACCTCCCCTGATTAGGAAACCAAGTCGTCTATTTATAGTGAAACCACCCCTATCTTGCACCCTCCACGTGAACGTCCCCTTATCAACTCTATGCACATCTTCCACGTGTCCCACGTCTCAAACCCCACACCACCACTACACACGCATTACCCTACCACCCCGTCATCCCCCCCCCCCCCCCATGCCACACCTCACGAAGAGGGGGCACGAGGCCATGCAACCGGCGCGATTGCCCGCCCAGCGGGGGCCGGCCACCCGGCGACAACTAGCCCCAGGAGGGGGCACAATCGCCGTGCGAGGAAGCGTCTAGGCCAACTGACTCGCCTCGACTGGTCTTCCCCTCCGTCATCGTCAAAGGTTGCTGTCGGCGATGTCCTTCCGACGGCCCACCTTCCTCCCCACAGCTTACTCCCCACGTATTTTGACCCAATAACACAAGTTCACTAAATCTCTAGCTCATACCCAATATCCCCATTATTTTGAAATTTGTCAATTTTTTTGATTAATTTAAAATTTTCCTCCATCTTAAAATTTAAAAGTAGATAGAGATTTAGGATAAGTGTGATCAAGATTATTGGACAGTTTTCATTAGTTATTAGCAGTAACGACAACGATTTATTATTTTATTAATAGGATATTATAACATAGTTTTGGCATTGCGGGTACGGTTTCTTAAGAATCATATTCAACATTTGTACGTAAATTTGTGCATTTATGTTTTTGGACTGACTACCTTTTACCATTACTTGAAATCGATGTAGAAAAAATATTCTATAATATTATACAACAACATACTAATTTCAAATTACAAAGTTCACAAACTTCATTATATTGAATAGTCAATAAATAAAATGATAATTTGTCTAAAGGAGTGGTCAAGATGAATCTTAAATTATTCACTTAGTTCAATTTTGGATGGGATGCAATATATATATATATATATATATATATATATATATATATATATATATATATATATATATATATATATATATATATATAGTTTGCAGTCACGATCAAAAAGTACAAGTTTTAATCTTGAATTCGGCTCAATTACTTAATGGTCTGATTCGATATTTAATCATACTCTTTTAAGTTGATCACATTAAATCATTTACTTAATTTCTTGTCACAATTATATTAGTCATCAATTTATATACTAATTAATATTGATATGATAAAAGTTAGAACTCAATTATAAACAATATCAAAATAGTTTTAATGCAAAAGATAATGCTAGTATTATGTAGGAAAACAAAAAGCAATTCATTAACAAATCACAACTTGTTTTATAGTTAATCCATATAATATACATTTTACTCAACATGATGAGACTCAATTCACTAAAATGTAAAAATAAATATGGTTCCAATACAATAAATATAAATGGGGACCAATTGTAATAAGAAAATAAAAATCATAGATATGATGTAGAAAAATTAAAAGATTGTAGCTAAATATAGTAATAGCACAATAGTTAAGGACTTAAAAGTGAAATTAACTAAAATAAATTACAAAGAATCTAACGCTCTTTTAAATAATACTGTAAAATTAATTGTATGGTCCATTATATATGGGCTTGAGTCAAGTTCATGACAGTAAGTAGGGGTGAGAATTTGGGCCAAAGCATTTTGGTTAGGTGGTTGGAGTCATTAATCAATGGTTAGGTGGTTGGAGTCATCCCTATCTTAGTCAAGGATGTAGTTGGCCGCTACGAGTAGCTGGCGAGCGACAATGACGATTTCAAGGAGTGAATTTTGTAGACTCTGGGTGTCACCCCTGCCCACCCCCCCCCCTCCCCCCAACCTCGACGTCTGATCGGCATCTCTACCTTAGTCAAGGGTGCAGTTGGCCGGTACTAGTAGCTGGCGAGCGACAATGACGATTTCAAGCAGTGAATTCGTAGACTATGGGTGTACCCCCCCCCCCCACCCAACCTCGACGTCTGGTCGGCAACCCTACCTTAGTCAAGGATGCAGTTGGCTGCTACAGGTAGCTGGGGAGCGATAATGACTAACGTCACAGACTGAGATGAAGTAGTAATTGGGACACATGTATGATCCATAACATTTCAAGCTTCGATTCCACATATTTTCCCATTATTCTCCATTCTTGGAGTACTATAAATAAGGAGTCTTAGACTCTCAATTCATTTTAAACATCATCATCAACATCCCTCATACCAACTTTCCCCTCTTGTTCTCTATAATTACTTGTTGTCCTAAGACAATCAGTGTAATTAGCCAGTTGAGCTCATACCTTGGGCCAAATAATTTGCCTGTTCATTTATATGTTTGTATAGCCAAAAACCGATCTTTCATTGCCTGTGGCATTAAACTATTTATTAACATTAATATGTTATTATCATTCATTACTATTTTTTTCCAAATTACCTATTTTTTATGATAGGCCTAGTCTAATACGTACAACCAACAATATTCATTTATCTTTGACCACCATTTTGGAACTTGTTTGACATTTACATGAGAAAAATCCAACAAAATTAAATCATGTGGCATCATACTTTTATAAATTAAAATAAGTGAATAAAACAAGTAAACAATATTTAAATAAAAAATGAAAATTTTAACCTAATCATACTATAACTTACATTGTGAAAGAAATAATAAATTCAATATATATATATATATATATATATATATATATATATATATAAAAGGCCGGTGTTTCCGTGGGTCCACCCTTTCCCACGAGCCCGTGTGGATAAATTTAGACCATTGAATACTTAAGATTAATGGTTTAGATTTCGCCAAGTATGCAATTGTGCACTTCACTTGCACTTCACTTGCACAATTCATGCACAGTTGGTGAAATCTAGATAATTGATCTCTAACATCCAATGGTCTAAATCTGTCCACAGAGGCTCATATAACATGGACTCATTTGATCACTATATATATATATATATATATATATATATATATATATATATATATATATATATATATATATATATATATATATATATATATAATCCAACTAAAATACATAGAAGACAGCAAATCAAGACCGTCGCTTTCGTCCTCCTACCGCCGTTGTTTGTCATCTTTCACCAAATGGATTGAACTTATCCTTTCCTTGATTCCCATTTAGAGAATTTTCGTCCATTAGTTGTTAGTCCTTCATTAGAGTACATTATTTATTCATTGAAATTTTTATTTTAATTCATCAAATGCAAAATTAAATCATTTTAATACAATTAACATAAAGAAATAAAAGTACAAAATGATTATAAAAAGAGCGATCATGTTCTACTGATGATATAACTGATAGTCAATAATGGTTAAATGTTTTTCAAGAACATACAACTCCTACTGAAAGTGACCGTAATGCACAATTATCAAACTAGCATAAAATTAGTTCCTTTATTATAATAGTAATGTCCTAAAATTAACTCTAAATGAACAAATTTTTAAATAATTTACTATGTCGATCAACATCTTATATCCTTCATTAGGTGTAATTCCTAAGCTTTTGTTGGTTGTACCTGGTAGAATCGGCAAGTTAAAATTTTTTATTTTCATATTAATTGTTTATACAATTACAACTAATTGATTAAAATTTATCACAAACATCACCAATCAAGTAGTAATTGCACAACAATTATTAACGAGAAAAGAAAAATAGAAAATGAAAAAGATGAATATACATGTCGACAATCACGTATGGCTGACGTGATATCCCACGATTCTCTTTTTTGTTTTTTTGATTTTTTTTTTTTAGCTCTCTCTCTCTCTCTCTCCTTAGACAATTATCAAATATTATCATCGTCAACCCATTTTCCGGCGGAAAGGCGGCCGGAATCGACCGACGGGCGAGATCATATCTTCTCCAGCTTCTCCGCCTTGATTAGAGGATTGGCCTTGGCGATGGCTTCTCTGCCCAAGGCCTTAAAATCGAACGAGCATCCGTGATTCTCGGGGTACCGGTGGACCCCACAGAAGGTGACCCCGCACCGGCACCGGAATCCCGTCAACCCAACCTTCTTCCGGCAAGCCGAGCACCGGTTCGTCGCCTGCTGCGGCAGCACCACCGCCGCCGCCGCCTCCTCCACCTTATCTGCCGCGGCCGCCCTTCCCTTCAAATTCTCCGGCGACGAAGCAGACGCCGGCGGCGCGGCGAACACGGAATCCACCGGAGCCTTGGGTTTGGATTGGGCGGCCTTGAGGCAGATGTCCCGGTAGCATTTGGAGCAGTAATTCTGCGTCGCCGGGCTGCCGAAAAAGCCGCAGTTGTTGGCGCAGAGGCGGTGGCCTTCGGGCGATTGGTAGCCGTGCTCCTCCGCCATGCTCAGACCTCGAGAAATCGAGTAAAGAAAAATAGGAAATGGATGATGAAAAGGGAAAAGAAAGCTGGGGAAGAAAGGGAAATGGGAGAATTTAAGAAGAGAGAGACATGGAGGGGAGTGGGTTAAACAAAAGAATCTCAAAAGGACTTGAAATGAGGAAGAAGACAAAATAAACCAACACCATTTTAATATTCAGAAATGATATCAATTTAATCACACAAATTTATTTTAATTTCTTGATAATAATTCAAACAAATATCACAGTCTGGATTTGCCAAAGATATAGTGATTAGCCATTTCCCATTAAAAAATTTGTGAATGGGAAGCCAAGAATTAAAAATAAAATTCAATAATAGAGTATGTAGACGAGATTTATGGAATTGGTATTATTATTCGCACTCATATATAAACACTTTGAAACTTGTGGCCATTGGCACCAATATACAAGCACATTGGGAAATACGTAGACCATGCATGTATATTTAGCGATTTATCTCTTTCACTGAATCTCTAAAGGCAAGAGTGGTGGAGCCCTAGTGATTGAATTACAATCATTTATTAGAATTTTGGGAAATCTATGGGTTGTGGCTACAAGTATATACAAATACTTTGGGGAATAGGTAGACTGTTTAAACATATTTTGCGATTTATTTCTTTAACTAGATATCTGAGACAAGAGTGGTTGAGTTATAACCTATAGAGATTGATGTACAATCTTTTAAATAATCAATGTATGTCGAGTTAATGAGAAATACAAAAAAAAAAAAAAAAAAAAAAAAAAAAGAAGTGAAACTATATGAAATATAATTCATCAAATATTAATTGTGATGAGGTGTCGAGATAGGATTATATACCCAATATAGAGGGGAATTATTGATCCGACCCGATTACATAGAAGTTAAATTGCTGCATATACCTTAATTAGAGAAAACACTAATTGTGATTATTGTCCTTTGTGTGGGTCAGATTTACAATTACATGTATGATGAGCTGTATATAATCTTGAATTTATGACACCATATATTTTGGGAAAAAACAATTTACTAAAATGGGGAAATAATTGCTAATCTACAATTAAGGAAATATTCACGAATTAATTTTGCATCATTTGACATGATTTGTTATTTATGGCATCATAGATCATTAAAAAACAAAACAATTGAACCCCAAACCGCTCACCTCTATTGCCATCTGTAATTTTAATTTTGACTTTTCATAAATATGTTTATTTTGAGAATTAATTTTTCATCCACTTATTACTCATTTTCTTCTCCCAAAATTTATTACTCATTTTGAGTATACAATATATTTATTTATTCGTCTCACTACACAGAGTGCATATTCAATTTGACCCGATCCAAATCAAAAGTGTACCCCACATATATTTATATTACAAAATAGCTACTTGCAATATTATTTATGTTAAAATTTCAACATCCACAAAAAGATCAAATCCATGATATATATTCCCCAAATGTTTTGGTATTGATAAAAATTGAACTTTACACATTGCGTGTTTGCTAGCCATAGACATATTTTGAATTTGTGGAACTAATTGACCTATGCTCTAGAACAACAAAATAAATTAGGAGAAAGTTATGTAGATGTACAAACGTAGTCTAATAAGAAATCATTTTAAAAAATATTATTTGTATAATGTTTTTAAAATAAAATGATGTTGACTTATAACAAGTGTGGCATTGTTACAAATTTTCATATTTGTTTTCTATGCATAAATTGACCTAACTTAACACATATTACCGCAAGAAACTACTTTATTTGGAATACTACACAAGATTTGGTATATATAGTATTAACGTATATTTATAGTCATTAAATATTAAAGATTCTGTCTCAATTCGGGATAAATTAATCATATTAAGTTATTATTATTAATATATATATATATATATATATATATATATATATATATATATATATATAGTATAATAAAAGAATATTTTTTGAATCCCCAATCCTAAGGATCCCTATACATCTCGATTCGACAGAACATATGGGATGACGTGAATTATGATAACTTAGTGATCTCAGGTCATTGTTCTCAAACTCCATTCCTGGGGCCAATTGAGCTGTCTATGCAGGTAAATAAATTTCTCTCATACATAATAGCTTCACGTAAGAGTTAAATCTTATTTTTGAAATTTATTTGAAGTGATTAAATGGATGCGGACACTTCTCTAATGCCAAATGATTAACTAATAGATTATTATATATAATGCAAAGGAATGGATATGAAATTATAATATGAAGGATTCCTAACCTCGAATAACACCAATTTGACTAACATTCGAGACATAGTTAGGTGTCAAAACCCAACACTAAGGTTGGTGAAACAAGTACTTTGTACTAATAATCATAATAATGGAAAAATGAAAAGATTCCTTTTGAATTTTAATAATACGAAAAAAACTTATAAAATATTAATTCCAATTTAGAATAAGATTTATTGGAAAAAGTTTTCAATTCGAAAGGGGCAACAAACACAAGTAAATCAACCTTGGCGGTGCAGTACAGCTATGATTTTAGCAACAATTCGTGCTTTTCTTTGGACAATTGGACCGACCATTTGGTCATTCATGTCCTTGCAATGATATGGTTATCAATCACAATACGCCAAGTCATAAAATAGTTTTACTCCCAAATATTATATAGGACTAAAAGAATGAGAACTTCTTTCAAAAAAAAAAAAAAAAAAAAAAGAGTGAGAATTGATAAGTCAGTGATTTTTGTATTTTATCATGAGTTTGATTCTTACTAATATCTTTTTAGTTGAATTCGTCACAAAAAATGTTCTTAATATAATTTATCACTTATATCAGTTATATGTGATTCATTAAAAATAAAAAATTTACTCAAAAAATGTTAAGATTGTGACTTGTGAGATTAAGCTTAGCATGAATTTGGATTTGTTGGGACTTGGGACAGGACAAATTTTACTGTGGACCATGTTCCAAAACAATGTTGTTTCTTTTAATTAAGAAACGACACTCGTTCCGTCTAATTACTCATGTTTGTTTTTTTGGGTAGGGATTACTCATGTTTGTATGACGTATTCAATTTTATTTTATATACATTGTAGTTTCATTTCGTTACAACGAAAATATAATTTTGTTTCAACTACAGTTTCATTTGACATTATACATTCAATATGTGAGACCTGTTATTAAATTTTATTTTATATACACTGCAGCCTTATTAGTTATTACGACAACACTAAAGTATAATTCTAATTCAACTACGATTTCATTGAACAATAAACACTCAAATATGTGAAAGTGTTATTCAATTTCATTTTAAATACACTTTAATTTTATTTTGTTTTGAACACACAAGAAATTCGGGATTATTAAAAGTACACGATTATTATCAAACCCCATACATAAATTTATGATTTTTTAAATTAATTATAATTATAAATTTATAATAATGCATTTTTTTATTTTGCAAAAATAGACTTTTTTATTTTTTATTTTTATTTATTTTTTGGTTAATTATCTAAGTACCTGTGGTACACTTTATTCCCGCAAAAAATATGTGTTCCATTGACAGTTAGAGCTCCGAGTCTGTTTTTCGATGGAGCAACCACCACCGCCGCCACAGGCGCCGCCAAATGAGCAACAACTTCCGCCGCAACAGCAACTACCGCCGCTACCATCAGCTGCGTTGCCGCCGCCGCCTCTTACATCCTCCTCCGCTGCACCGTCCTCGCTTTCCTTACCCGCCTCTTCACTCCCTCCTCCTGCGGCGACGGAGACCGTGCGTTCTCCCAACCCAAACCTAAACCCCGCCACCACATCCCCCGCTCTCAATATCCCTCAATCAAGGCCGGCATCGCAGCCATCGTCGTCCTTTTCCCGGCCATGGCAGCAGCCATCGCCATTCCAGCACTTCTCATTGCCTCCTCCTCCGCCTCCTCCGGGGCCGCACTCTGCCTCCGCCTCCGCCACTCCTTCGTCTTCTTCGCTATCAATGCCGCCGCCGCCTAGGGGCGGAATGGCGCTTGGTGTCCCTGCCCATCACCCCGGGCCTCCTCCCCCTCCCGCCTCGTTTTCGTCCTTGGCTCCGCCTTCCTTTGGCCAACAATTCGGTGGATTGGGCCGCAATGTGCCTGATTCTGTGCCTACTTCAAACTCATCCCAGGTCTTATTCATTATATCCTCTAATGTGATAAAAAGATTTGATTTTTCATACAAAGAACCAAATTTCATCCTCCCTTGGCTATATAATTGCTAGTTTCTATTCCATTTAATTTGTGTTTTTGTGAAGTTTGACATAAATTCTTTGGAGACCCACAGTCACTATCCGAGCTGTGCACGGGTAAATTCACCTTGTCACAATGTCACCTTAGTCCGTAAAGGAACATAAGGAGGTAAACCAGATTGCCTATAGCTGATTGGTAAGGCCGTCCATAACGGACTGACTCAAACCAAGAAGGAGGCCACTAGGTTACTCGTTGGGAGTCGAACTTGTAACTTGCCGTTACCAAGTCTAAAGCCTAACCAGCTTGGCTAAGATTGACTTAAAATGTTTAGGATTGCAAGTGTGAGAGAGGGGGAGAGAGAGAGAGAGAGAGAGAGAGAGAGAGAGAGAGAGTTGCTTCTTGTGATGCATTGCATGAATGTTGTTTCAAATGTACAGGTGAGACAGCCAATACAAGGAATGCAAGGAGTGGGAATTATGGGTGCCATTGGTTCCAGTTCAGCAATAAGAGCAGCTGGGGTTCCTCAACATCCATTGAGATCAATTACCTCATCTCTTAGAGCACAGGCTGTCCCTCAGTCTCCTGGTTCACAAGTGAGCATTTTCTGTTGTTATTTGCCCTTGTAGTCTATTGCTCTGGTGATTCGGCTTCTGATTTTGGTTTAAATATGACTGCTTAGCTTACCTTTAGTGGTTGTTTGATGCATACAATACTCTTAATCTTTCATTGGTAATGCCTTAGTGGTTCAAGGAACTTGGTGATGATAAACTTGATTTAATGTATGCATGGTGTTACTGATCATGAAGTTGAAGCTTTTGCTCTCAAGGAGGATGATGATATGAAACACCATCTCTCCAGTGTAGGAGGCAATGAAGAATAAGCAAGGTTACAAGTTCGACTCCCAGCAAAGAACGGTCTATTGACCTTCTTAGTTTGAGCCAGTCAGCTATAGACAATCTAAACTTGTCTGCCTCCTTGTGATCTTTTGCTGGCTAGGGTCATAAAGCGGAGTTTACCCAGTTTGCACCCTTGATAGTGGTTGCGGGTTTCCTTTGTCAGTCCAAAAAAAAGGATAGTTTTCAAACTTGTTAAAGCTATACATTTTCTTCGTCTTTCTCCTTTCAGAATTTTCAAGGACATGGCATGCTGAGAGTTCAATCAGTGGGATCTCCAATTTCTCCTGGTGCTTCTCAGAATCCACAGTCCCAGAATCAGCCTTGGTTATCTTCGGCTGCACAAGGGAAGCCTCCGTTGCCACCCCCCTCGTTGAGGCCTCAGATGAGCCCACAGTTATTGCAGCAACGATCTCATATTCCTCCACAGCATCACCATACCATGCCTACTGCCTCTCCGCAGCAACAGCATACATCTTCTGCCCAACAGTCACAGCCTTCAAGTTCAGTTCCGGTTCCTGAGAATTTGGCACAGCAAGTTCAACCATCAAGGAATCAACCGTCTTTCCCCAATCAACCACCAATTGCAAGGGGTCAAGGGTTGGGAATTCAAAGGCCCCCGTCTCTTGCAACGCTGCAACCTGGTTCTGTTCAGGCTGGATCGCTTCATAGACCTGCTGCTGTGGAGACCGAGGAGCCTTGTAATAGGATTCTGAGCAAACGAAGCATCCAGGAGCTCGTGACTCAGGTGAGTAATTCATTGCGTATTTCTTTACCCACTTTTCAAATTACTCGTGTATTTGAGGCCTTGAGGGCATATATGACGATATGGTACTCCTCCATCAGTTTATGTCCATCTATTTGACTAAAGATTCCACTGACAGATTGATCCCTCGGAGAAATTGGATCCTGACGTTGAGGACATCCTTGTAGATATTGCTGAGGACTTCGTGGAATCTGTAAGTTATTCTGATAGAAGTTTTTTTTTCCAAGAATTATAATAGCCCATATTTTGAGCTACTGACTAGTTTATGCGTTTTCCTTCCGATCACATTTGTTGGAACAGATTACAACCTTTGGTTGCTCATTGGCAAAACACCGAAAATCCTCTGTGCTAGAATCGAAGGACATCCTTATAAATGTTGGTCAGTAATTGGAACTCGGAAGTTGTATAAGTGGTTCTATGTACATTGGCAGTGCTTAATGTTTAGTGGATGCTTTGGTTCAGAAAGGAACTGGAACATATCTCTTCCGGGGTTTAGCGGGGATGAAATTAGGACCTACAAGAAACCAGTACGAACATCTCTTCCTATCAACTGTACACATAATTTCGATTCATAGGCAAAAAACAGTGTCTCGTACTCTCGTGTCTTTTTCTAACACTTCTCCTCATGTTTCCCAGTTCACAACTGACATTCACCGAGAGCGGCTTGCTGTTGTAAGTTTGAAAACTAAACTCCGATGACTAAACCTAGTATGAACACCTGTTAACTTGATCACACGTTCGTTCTGTGGCAGATCAAGAAATCAGTCGCCACTGCAGAGGCATCGAATTCAAAGAGCGGGGCTGGGCAAGGTGGAAACTTGAAGAGCCATACGGGAAAAGCACCTGCCAATATTATGAGTCCCCCTAACACAAAAACCTAAAGCTCTAACACCCATTGTTCTGGAACACTGGTTTTTGCGAAGCTTACCATTACACCAGTCACCGGGTATGCTCTTTCCTTGTATTGTTTATCGTTTCTTGATCTTCCATCTTATACGTGTATGTATGTATTCTCTCATCCAGCATAGCGTGAGGGTGTCGAAAATTTTTATGTCCACAACTTTAGCGTAACAACATCATCATCATCCCCAAGCTGAGGTGAATAACAAAGTGACCCGGAGGCGCAATTACCAGAAAATGGGCAGGAAAAAGCACTGAACTTTCCTCTTGCCAAACTCCTCCCAGTTGAGGCAAGTACATAGAAATAGTCAAAAACCAATACTCTGAATGTACTTGCTGTTTTTACATACAATTGATGGGTGTAGGCATTTTCTATGCCTTTAATTTAGATCTTGTTTTCAATCACATCTCGACCGGATCTGCCATGGATGATGGGCACTATCTGTTTTTGAGTTTTGACAGCTAAAAATTGCTAATAAAAGCAATCAACATATGTTTCTGAGTTGTCAGTGGCATATTCTAATCTTCACCTCACTTTTCATGGCTTTTTTAAGCTAATGTTTGTCTGACATGACATGCAAGTTGAACTAAAACGTTAGTTTATGTTTGTCTCACATGCAACAAGTTGATCAAACGACCAAAAAGATATACTGATATCTTGTATGTTTGCTGATTATTATTATTTTTGCCTTACAACCTTTCTCGCCGACGTTTATTATTATTATTTTTTAAAGTATTTACGTTACAAGACGAGAATTATTAACATCAATATAATTTTTTTTGGAATAACGAGTAAAATATGTAGTCACTATCCGAAAGTATAAACTAAGTAATTAAATTTAACATTGTGACTCTATCAGCAAAGAACTACAAGTCCGACAATTGACTTAATAACAACAAAATTCTAAATCGCCAACTATAAATACAAAATCGAATTCACTCAAACTCACAGACTTTCTAGTAAATCAAAATTTTTACAGTAAAAGGTAAAAATTATAAAAACATATTTTTACTTCATTGTAAATTTTACTGTAATAGTTTAAAGGATGAAAAGATAAAGTAATATTATATCTGTGACCTATAAAAATGATGATATGTGGTTAGAGTTTTACTTCTTACATCATTTTCCCCTTGGAATATAGCATTCTTTGAAGTCTGACAAGTAGAATTGAATATCTCACCATATTCAATAAATATACGCAAACATGGAGGCGTTGCAGACGTATACTCAACTATAGCAGAAAAGTTCTTTCCAATAGCAGAAAAGTTCTTGGGTGGCTGGGTGGAGTGGGTGGCGATAAAAGCACTTCATTATATATATTAAAAACTCTATCTTTTCCAATTGGCTTCCGGTATCGTTCATATCCTCCACCCGCACTTGGATTTGCTGCAAAAATCTGTCTTTTTCAGGCACCAAGATTCTACCTTTTCCCCATTGTATCAGATTTTGCTCTCTATAATCAGTTAAGCTTCAAGAAACAGTGATGCCGATTTCCGACGGAAATTCTTCGGCTGGAGTGGTCGAGGTTTATTCGTCTGCTGGGGAGAATCGTGAGAAGATCATCATCGACACTGACCCTGGAATCGGTGAATCCTTTTGCCCTTTTTGTTAATGGGTCATGATAGCAGTCATTTATACTAAGGAAGAATCTCCTGCTACTTTGCAGTGTTCAGTTTTGGGGTGGGTGGGTTTAGTTTTTTTTTTTTTTTTTGAAAAGAAAAACAACTTCCATTAACGAACTTCAAGATACAGAGAGTTTTTTATAAAACTACTAGAAAGATGGAAACTTTATGATATATGATGTATTGATATTCCTTTGGTTCTTCTCTGTATTGTTTTATGCTGTATTTGAGCCTATGATATTCTTGCCAGACTTAGTCAAAGGTGGAATTTTTCCCAGAATCTTGGCATTTTTACGAGGAAAATGGGTAAAAAAGGGGAAAAGTATAGACATAAGTACTCAATTTTACTGATGAAAATCTTTGTGAATTACTGAGGTTTACATATACTGACAGATTTATGTCATTTCTAGTTGTATGCATTTGGAAGAGTTATTGAGTATTTACAATCCACTAATCAGGATAAATCATGAAATATCTACCTGATTCTCAGTGGAAACTGGGTAAAGAGTATGTTTATAAGTTAATGAACAGATCAGAAAGTTTCGAGTTTTAGGTGGTTTTCAATTCATTTGTCAAATGTGGGATGCAATTGAGCCTTTTGTTTTCTTGGTTGGTATCTAGATGATACTGTGGCAATACTGATGGCGTTCCAGACACCGCATTTGGAGATACTAGGATTGACAACGATATTTGGCAATGTTACTACAGAAAATGCAACGAGGAATGCATTACTTCTGGTAACCATAAGTTGTTATTGTTACTCCGTTTTAAATTTCGTTTGAATCATGTTGGTGATCAAAAACCGTTTAATTGTGCAAAAAGGATAGTGTGAGGTTGCTGGACGTCCAGATGTTCCAGTAGCAGAGGGTAGCCCCGAGGCACTAAAGGTAATAATACTTTGATCGTTATGATGCATTGTACCGGATAAGATGAAGTTAACATAATAAATCGTTGTTCAACAGAGGGGAAAGCCACGTATTGCAGATTTTGTTCACGGGGCAGATGGGTTGGGTAACTTAAACGTACCGCCTCCAAAATCCAAAAAAATCGAGAAATCAGCGTCTGATTTTTTGGTTGATAAAGTTTCGGAGTTTCCCGGTGAAGTATCTATACTTGCACTTGGACCGCTTACGAATTTGGCTCTGGTTAGTAGGATATATCTAATTACAGTCGAACTATATGTTCTACACTAGTTCGTTTTGTCACATTTGAACCCGAATAAATCATTGCTCGTGTCGTTGTTTAGGCTGTTAAGAAGGACTCGTCCTTTGCAAGCAAGGTGAAGAGGATAGTAATCCTTGGCGGTGCATTTTTTGCCTTGGGAAATGTTAATCCTGCTGCTGAAGCCAATGTGCGTAATCCTATTACTTTATAAGGTTTCGAATTGTTTGTTTTGTGTTCATTGCGGTGATTCTTGTTTATAATAATATGCATTTTTTTTTTGGCAATACAGATCTATGGGGACCCGGAAGCTGCAGATATCGTGTTCACCTCGGGCGCGAATATTGACGTCGTTGGCATTGACATTACAACACAACTTAAAATGACAGGTGCTTGCTCGAATGCTCGTTTTAAGGTTTCTATAATCTTTGTAGTTTATACATATACACTTCCTTTGCTCATTTTAAGCGCCCCGAGGTTTCAGATGCTGATCTTGATGGATTAAGGCAATCCAATGGTAGGCACGCCCGGTTCATATGCGACGCCTTCAAATTTTACCGCGATTGGCACGTGAAGTCTGATGGCGTCTATGGTAATTAATCTTTTTTTTCCAGACAATATGCGTCTATTGTCGAGTTGTTAATTGTCGTCTCTGTCACTGTCCCCAGGGATTTTCCTGCACGACCCTGTCAGTTTCGTGGCATTAGTCCGACCTGATCTCTTCACGTTCAGGAAAGGGGTCGTGCGTGTTGAAACACAGGGCATCTGCACGGGGCATACGCTAATGGATCAAGGGCTTAAAAGGTACGTATTCATTCATCATATTCAACGCATTATATATAAAGCATAAACGTGTATGTAGTCTTACTATCAGCTTAGCCTTTTAGTTGAAACGGAACCTGTCCTCCATGTCCTCCAATTCACACAACCGTAACCATTTCTTGCAAAATAATGCAGATGGAACACGAGCAACCCGTGGACAGGCTACTCTCCAGTTTCGGTTGCGTGGACAGTTAATGTGGATGAAATTCTGAGTTACATCAAGAACTTGTTAATGAAACCATAATTTGAGTTTAACACTATAAAGTGTTGTCAATTGTGTAAAATTATTGTACTTTTTATAGTCCTAAGTGTCTGTATTTCTGCAATTGTGAACAAAAATGTTGTATGTGTTGTTGTACTGGCCAAGTAATTACGTTGCTTGTTCACACATCTTATTTGTGAAAAAACTGAAAATACAATAAAACCCGTGTCTACATAAGATACAATTTCACAAAATAATTATGGAGTATTTATTTTATTTTCATCATCTCTTTCAAATTCTATATATTTTAGTTGATGTGTCAAAATCTTTCAATCTTTTTATTGGATGATAAGGAAAACCAGCGGTCATTATTTGAGGATATGTATTGAAAAATTTCACTTTTGTATAATATCTCACAAACTACTACTGATGGAATAATCACGGAGCGGGGTTGGGGCGAAGCAATACGGAGCGGGTCGGATCCGGCATCAACAACTCGCGAAGCATGGCGAACTACTTGGGGTCGGCCAACCACCCCAAGGTGCCTTGGGCCAACGCGGGGCTGGCTCGCGTCGCGCCGGCCTCCGTGGGCTTGGCCTCGTGAGCCCATGACCGGCCCTTTGGCCGAGCTCCATGCTCGCTCAAGGGCCGGGTCCTCGCGTGGGGCGAGTCTCGCGGCGTGGACCATGGCTCCTCCCGCGTACCCTGGGTCAGTAGCGGTCGGGGAGTATAAAAGCACTTCTCGGTGTCCTATTTAAGTATCTTTTACCTTCTTACTACAACTGTCTTGTTATTATACGTCCCGAACCTCTGTAATAGCGTTATACATCCAATTAATATAATATTTCTATCCCTATTGTCATTTTATTATTCGTTCCTTATATTCAATCATACACTCGAGTTGTATAATTCAGAATTCAAACCCCCGAGTTCATATAATCTATCAACTACAGTACCACATATGAGAGAAGTAAGCCGATGAATTCAATTGAGAGGGGGTTGGCATATTCTAATTTTCACCTCACTTTTCATGGCTTTTAAGTTAATGTTTGTCTGACATGACATCCAAGTTGAACTAAAACGTTAGTTTATGTTTGTCCCACGTGCAACAAGTTGATCATATATATATATATATATATATATATAGGGACGGAGCCAGAAATTCGGTTGAGGGGGGCGAAACAGTACAGACAGATTCAAAAAAAAATTTCAGTAAAGGCGAAACATTAAAATAAAAGAGATAATTTAAAAATAAATAAATAAATTACCTAAGAAATATAGTTGTAAATATTGTTGGATATGAATGAAAAATAAAACACATCCAAACTCGACTGTGTTGAAGTCATAGGGGAACGAGTAAAAAGAATAAGAATTGTAAAATCATGTTAACGCCAAAATTTGAACCCTTAACCTCCCTTTTATTATCAAATATGTGCTTTACCACCTAATCTAACTTACTTCTTTTTTACATTTATAATTTCTTTATACTAATACTAAAACATGTACTATATATACATATATACATACAAAGTCTATATATGGGGTGGGGTTGGGGGTGGGGTGAGGGGGGCAGCTGCCCCCCTGCCCCCACTTTGGCTCCGTCCATATATATATATATATATATATATATATATATATATATATATATATATATATATATATATATATATATATATATATATATATATATATATATATATATATATATATATATAGGGAAGAGTTCATGTGCGGATATAGTTTCCCGTGCGGTTGTGCGGTTAGATCTGAGCTGTTGATCAAATCTAAATCAACGGCTCAAATCAATGAAAAAAAAAACGCATGTTCGGAAGAAAGACACGCACCTTAAGTGTTAGATCTTAAGCACAAACTCACGCACATTAAGTACAAAATCCACGCACAATAAGTACAATCTCACGCACATTAAACACAAAACCACGCATATTGTTGGATTGTGCTTATTCGTGGGTTTTGGTAGACGCTTTTGGTCAGTAGACGCTTTTGGTCATTTAGACGTGATGCATGCTTCTTCAATCAACACATATTAAGCACAATCTCACGCACATTAAGCACAAACTCCACTCACATTAAGAACAAATCTCACGCACCTTAAACACAAAAGCCCCCACTTTAAGTTGTACCAACTACTCACATTAAGCACAACCTCACGCACATTAAGCACAAAACTCACACAACTTATGCACAAGACTCACGCATATTATATACAAAATTCACACACATTAATCACAGAACCCGCTCACATTAATTTTGACCTAAATACAAAAATTACAAAATTACCACCGCTTTTTTTTTTTTAAAAAAATTTGATAATACTACGACATTGATTTAAGCAAGATAAATGGCCCAAATTAAACCGCACAAATGCACCTGAGCAATCTAAACCCACCAGAACCTATATATATAACTCTTTTTCAATATGCTTCCGGTATCGTACATATACTCCACCCGTCGCACTTGGATTTGCTGCAAAAATATAGCGTGGTTTTGACTTTTTAGGCACCACGATTCTACCTTTTCCCCATTGTATTAGATTCTGCTCTCTGTAATCAGTTAAGCTTCGAGAAACAGTGATGTCGATTTCCGAGGGAAATTCTTCGGTTGGAGTGGCCGAGGTTTGTTCGTCTGCCGGGAAGAATCGTGAGAAGATCATCATCGACACTGACCCTGGAATCGGTGAATCCTTTTGCCCTTTCTGTTAAGGAAGAATCTCCTGTACTTTGCAGTCTTCTGTGGGTTTAGTTTTAGTTTTATTTTTTTCTTTTTGAAAAGAAAAACAACTTCCATTAATAAACTTCAAGATACAAGAGAGTTTAAGATAAACGATACTTAGTTTTATAAAACTACTAGAAAGATGGAAACTTTATGATATATGATATATTGATATTCCTTTGGTTCTTCTCTGTATTGTTTTATGCTGTATTTGATCCTATGATATTATTGCCAGACTTAGTCAAATGTGGAATTTGGTTTAGTGACACTATTAGGATTGATCGCGGCTTTCAAAAATTATAATCTCAGTCCACAATTATTGTTTTTGTTGAAAAATGGTCATTCCGGTCAATTTTCCGTCAAAATCTCACCGGAAAAAAATTCTCCATTTCAATTAGAGATAAAATAGATAATCTCATACTGCTATTGACTTCTTATTTTGACCAAAGTGCGAAAAAAATCAAACCAATTGCCATGCATGAACTCTAATCTGCTCTCATCTCATCAACCCATCTACTAGACAAACATAAATCACATTCTGATCAAATTCAAAGTCATCAATATTGATGAGATGAGAGCAGATTAGAGTTCGTGCATGGCAATTGGTTTGATTTTTTTCACACTTTGGTCAAAATAAGAGGTCAACAGCGGTCTGAGATTGCATGGTCAATATAAATGTCTCTATTTGAAATGAGGAATTTTTCCCCGAACGGAAAATTGGCCGGAATGACCATTTTGAAACAAAAACAATAGTCGTGGACTGAAATTACAAGGTTTGGAAGTTGCGGATCAATTCTGATAGTGTCACTATAGTCGTGGATCAAAAGTGCAAAAAACTCACACCGAAGAACATGGGTAAAAAAGGGGAAAAGGATATGATAGACATAAGTACTCAATTTTACTGATGAAAATCTTTGTGAATCACTGAGGTTTACATATACTGACAGATTTAAGTCATTTCTAGTTGTATGCATTTGGAGGAGTATTTACAATCCACTAATCAGGATAAATCATGAAATATCTACCTGATTCTCAGTGGTAATTGGGTAAAGAGAATGTTTATAAGTGAATGAACAGATCAGAGAGTTTCGAGTTTTATGTGGTTTTCAATTCATTTGTCAAATGTGGGATGCAATTGCTAGATGATACTGTGGCAATACTGATGGCGTTCCAGACACAACATTTGGAGATACTAGGATTGACAACGATATTTGGCAATGTTACTACAGAGGATGCAACGAGGAATGCATTACTTCTGGTAAACATTCCTGTACCTGTCAATAGCAGTAACGATAAGTTGTTAATGTTACTCCGTATTAAATTTCGTTCGAATCATGTTGGTGATCAAAAACCGTTTAATTGTGCAAAAGGATAGTGTGAGGTTGCTGGACGCCCAGATGTTCCGGTAGCAGAGGGTAGCCCCGAGGCACTAAAGGTAATACTTTGATCATTATGATGCATTGTACCGAATAGGATGAAGTTAAACATAATAATTCATTGTTCAACAGAGGGGAAAGCCATGTATTGCAGATTTTATTCACGGTGCAGATGGGTTGGGTAACTTAAACTTACCGCCTCCAAACTCCAAAAAAATCGAGAAATCAGCATCTGATTTTTGGTTGATAAGGTTTCGGAGTTTCCTGGTGAAGTATCTATACTTGCACTGGGACTGCTTACGAATTTGGCTCTGGTTAGTCGGATCTAATTACAATCAAACTATATGTTATTCACTAGTTCGTTTGTCACATTTGAACCCGAATAAATCATTGCTCGTATCGTTGTTTAGGCTGTTAACAAGGACTCGTCCTTTGCAAGCAAGGTGAAGAGGATAGTAATCCTTGGCGGTGCGTTTTTTGCCTTAGGAAATGTTAATCCTGCTGCTGAAGCCAATGTGCGTAATCCTAGTACTTCATAAGGTTCCGAATTGTTTGTTTTGTGTTCTTGTTGATAATATGCATTTTGTTTGGCAATACAGATCTATGGGGACCCGGAAGCTGCAGATATCGTGTTCACCTCAGGTGCAAATATTGATGTTGTTGGCATTGACATTACAACACAACTTAAAATGACAGGTGCTTGCTCGAATGCTCGTTTTAAGGTTTCTATAATCTTTGTAGTTTATACATACACACTTCCTTAGCTCATTTTAAGGTTTCAGATGCTGATCTTGATGAACTGAGGCAATCCAATGGCAGGCACGCCCAGTTCATATGCGACACCATCAAATTTTACCGCGATTGGCACGTGATGTCTGAAGGCGTCTATGGTAATTAATCTCTTTTCCAGACAATATATATGCGTCTATTGTCGAGTTGTTAATTGTCGTGTCTCTGTCACTGTCCCCAGGAATTTTCCTGCACGACCCTGTCAGTTTCGTGGCATTAGTCCGACCTGATCTCTTCACGTTCAGGAAAGGGGTCGTGCGTGTTGTAACACAGGGCATCTGCACGGGGCTTACGCTAATGGATCAAGGGCTTAAAACGTACGTATTCATTCATCATATTCAACGCATTACATAGTTTCACACTGTTAGTTGACCGTATAATATATAAAACATAAACGCGCATGTATACTAGTCTTACTATCATCTTAGCCTTTTAGTTGAAATGAAACTCGTCCTCCAATAATGCAGATGGAGCACGAGCAACCCGTGGACAGGCTACTCTCCGGTTTCGGTTGCGTGGACAGTTAATGTGGATGAAGTTCTGAGTTACATCAAGAACTTGTTAATGAAACCATAATTTGAGTTTAACACTGTAAAGTGTTGTCAATTGTGTAAAATTATTGTACTCTTTATAGTCCTAAGTGTCTGTATTTCTGCAATTGTGAACAAAAATGTTGTATATGTTGATGTAGTGGGCAAGTAATTACGTTGCTTGTTCACACATCTTATGTGTGAAAAGCTGAAAAATACAATAACACCGTGTCTACATAAGATACAACTTTACAAAATAATTATGGATCGAAGTATTTATTTTCATCATCGCTTTCAAATTCTATCTATTTTAGTTGATGTGTCAAAATTTTCATCTTTTTTATTGAATGACGAAGAAAATCTGCGGTCACTATTTGTGGGTATGTACTAAAAAAAATTCACTTTTGTGTAATATTTTACAAACTACTACAATACCACACATGAGAGGTAAGCCGATAGATTCTATTGAGAGGGTGTGGGTGTTGGCAAGAATTTTAAAAGATTTTTTGTGTTATACATCATCTTGAGAAAGACCAAGCTCCTATGTACTGTACTCTTTTTGAGACTCGAAAGGGGGTCCTCTTTGTGATGCTACGGATGGTTGTCCGAAGTGCAAGGGGTAAACTCAGACTCATATAGAATAGGATTGTACGTGTTGAAAGGTCATATCATATTTTGGTTGAGTTTTTTTTTTTTTTTTTTTTTTTTTTTTTGCCTTCTCTCCCCGCGACTATAATATTTTGTTATGTTTTACCATTGTTACACCAAAATAAAAAGTTTCACATGAGCTCTCGTTTTACTGTGTGTTGGTAGGATTGCTAGGGGAGTGGCTCCAAGTGTAGATAGCAGTGTTGCAAAAATCGCGCCTAGGAGGCCGCCGAGCGTAATGGCCTCGGCGGCCTCCTCTACGGCCGGCCAGCTAGGCGGCCGCCTAGACTGCCTAACCGGCCGGTTCGGCGATTTTTTTTTTTTTTTTTGAAAATGTCGGAAAAGTTTCGGAAGGCATAACTTTTGACTCGGTTGTCTGATTTGGAATTTTTTTTTTCAAATCGCGTATGTTTTTGAGATCTATACACCGTATGTTTTCAAAGGCAGTTTGGTCCACTAATTTCTCAAAAAAAATGCTTCTTTAGCTCTTAATTTTAGTTTTTTATGTATTTAGATGGTTTAAACAATCTTCTGAACAATTTTACAACCACTTTTGTAAATAGTTTCTAAGAAATAACTATGGAAACCTTATGTTTTAGTACTAAATTTTGAAAATTTTTAATTTTAAAAATTTTTTTAATTAAAAAAATTAAAAAATTAAAAAAATTAAAAATAAAAAATCGGCGCCCTAGGCGCTAGGCGCCCCCTTGGCGCCTAGGGGGCGACTAACGTGTTTTGCAACATTGGTAGATAGGGTTAAATTTGTAGGGGTCATGCAAATACATAAGCTCCTTCCCTTCTCTTTTGAATGAACGGGGTGGTTTAGAAGGCGATTTTTAATCAACAACCTCAGAGCGAAATGTTAGGTAGATAGTGACCCTGTTTGGTAAATGACTGTTAGCTGTTAGCTAATTGTGTTAATTAAAGGGTATAACTACTTGATAACATTAGCTGTTGTAGAAAAGTGTTTGGTAAATTAGTTGTTAGCTGTTTGGTATAATTTTTTTTTTTGAAAAAGCTAATTGAAAAAGTTGCTTGGAGTAGCTTTTGAATTTTATCATTTTGAAGTTGCAAAAAGCTAATTAACCAAACACTTATATTAATATTTTAACTAAATTAAACAATTAATAGTGATCAAATAAGTCAAAATTGATCTATAAATTAATTTTCTACCAAACAGGGCCACTATAAGCACTCTTAACTTCCAACTATGTGTTGTGTGGTTCCTAGCGAATGAAGAGAAGCTCAAAGAGCTTACGGGTGAATTAAGTTGCCTATTTAATATGAAAAATCATATTCCATTGCTTTTTGGGTAGACAAATTTTTTCCTCTTATTTGATATGAACGAGGAAAGGCATTGACCATTTCAAATGCCACTTGTCGATGGAGTAGGAAGTCTGGGGTGGCCAAACTTGTCAAATTTAATATGTGAACTTAACTCATTTGAAAATTAAAGTTGGTACAACGTTGAAAATTTTGTAAGTTATTAGGTTTCCTTATCACAAATTCAGCACAACCTTTTATTTTTCACGCAACTCTACAGACATCCTTAGCAAGGAAAGTACTAAAGTAACCATTATATCGTGCTTAGGAATTATCACCATCTTTTTAATGAGGAAACCAGCAATCCTTATGTGAGGGTGTACATGGGATAAACCCCATCATTATAAACTATATAAATTAAAGAGAGATAAATCGCATTAGAAAGACCACATGTCATAAGTTCGATCGAGAAGGTATTGTCAAGAATTGAACTTATAATCTTTTTGTACGAGAATCATGCTTCACTCACTCAATCACTATATTCGGGGGCAATTATCACCTTCTTTTACAGCAATTAATAGTTGAGGACATTGAGCTGAGATATGTAGCTTAATTAGGTAAATCATGGTTAAAGAATGTATATTGGTAGCTAGATACTAACTTGTTAATCACTTTTAGTTGCATGTCAAACCTCATGACCTAATCATAACCAACATGCCAACATTTGCTCAATTAAGATCGTTTGAGATAAAAATTTTCAATATAATGTATTTATATATTGAGTGATGCTACAAACTCCTCTTAAAATATTCCTTCTTATTCATTGAATGATGGTAAAAAAACTCATTTTTGTTTCAAGTCAAACAAATCCATCATTTGTTCACATTAGTCTCTCAAGAAATCAACAAATCGTGTGGCTTATGAGTTGGCTCGGGCAATCGGTTCTTTGTCTGTCTCAAGATCGTGGGCTGTTATCCCATTTGCTTGTATTGATGGTTTATTAAATCATTAATGAAGTTGTTTCTTGCTTTCAAAAAAAAAAAAATGAAGAATAAATGCAACCTAAACCAATAGGAGAAAAAAAAAAAAAAAAAAAAAGAGAAAAAAGGTCAAACCTAAAGTGTATGGTTTCTTGATTGCTCATGAAATCAAAGGCCCAGATTCATTATGTTGAACAGAAGTCATGTACGCAGTCATGGCGGAATAAAGCGGTTGAACCAGCTCTCCAGTCTCCCCTCTCATGGTGGTTCAACTTCATTTTCTTGTCTCTATCGACAGATGACAGTTACCAACTACTCCCTCCCCACTCCAACATCATACGTTGAAAACCAACTTCTCCTAATCCTCAACTACAAATTAAAACATAACCTCAAAAAACCCAAACTTCAATTCAATTCTCCGCACCCTATAAATCATCAATCTTAAACTAACTGGCTTCTTCAATTCATCGTCGATCAGCCATAATATAATGTCGTCTCGGGTTGGTTCAACATCGTCCATGAATGTTCTGGCGGAGAAGTTGTCGTGGTACTGCGCCTTGTTCATGGCGCTGATGCTGGTTCTGAGCTGCTGCGAGTCGACGGAGAACGAGTTCGCGGCGAAGATGATGGTGGAACGGCCGCCGCACGCGGCGGCGGCGGGGGTGTGCGACGAGATTTACGTGGTGCGGGAAGGGGAGACGCTGCATACCATAAGCGACAAGTGTGGAGACCCTTTCATCGTGGAAGAGAATCCTCATATTCATGATCCCGATGATGTCTTTCCTGGCTTAGTTATCAAGATTACTCCATTCAACCACCGTCTCTAGACTCTACTTTATATATCATCCTATAATATTATGCTTTTTTTTTTTTTTTTTTTTTTTTAAATTAATCACCATGTAGTATCGGCTATAAAAAAAAAAAATTTGCCCTCAATCTACCATTTAGGGATCAACTGAACTACTCGATCGCTATCTTGTCTCCATGAGTGGAGAGGGAGATGGTGGTAGTCTGTAAAGAAATGAATTACTCTTTTTACTAGCTAGGCATAGCCTATATATGTGGTACAGTATTCAAGTTTATATAGCAAGGTTTTAATATTTTATATACTCTGATCTCATTTTTTACTCACAGTTTACATGTCATATTCTGATTCATCAAGAAAAGTTGATGGCCACATCTCTTTGTCTTCTATAAATCAAATCATAATATATGACGGAATTTTACTCTATAGGAATACATGTATCATTTAGCATTTTATATATAAAGTTGTATTGTGTGACCATTGAGTTGAGCATATGTATATGAGGTTATAGCTAAGTGTCCTATATGTAATAGGAGTTGGGTCAAGGCAAGTAATTCACATGGGATGGGTTAGTTTGTCTAATGCATGCCCACATGTTATTGTATTTAGCTAGGGTGCTATATATATATAGCACGGCCCGTATATAGGGTTGTGTCAGCCCATCACGAAGTCAAGAATTGTAATTTCACAGCAATCAACTTCACCATTCATGCATCTTGGTTGAATTTTTATAAGTTGCCTAATTTTAAGTTTGACTGAAATGATAATTGAAGCTGTTATGGGTTGTCCGTTCATCTTGATGAACAAGGAAACTACAAATCTTATCTTCTTTTTTTTTTTCTTTTTTCTTCTATAATATAGTATTGTTTAAAAAAAATAATTTGGGAGGGGTTTACTGAATATACAACTTTAAACAATGACTGCAAAATTCCTTCATCATTCAGAAAACGTTATAATTCAAATTTATTTGAGATGTATTTTTGTTCACTCAGACCTGTATCCAAATTTTTAGTAACAAGAAAATATAAAAACTTACAAGTTGTTTAGTAAACATGAAATGCAATTACAACACAATTATATTCTTTGCATTGTACCAAGAGTATTAGTGTTATATGTATAAAAATTGTGAAATCAAATGTTGAAAAAAATTCCTTTATTATTATTAATGAACTAGTATTTATCTCGTGCGATGCACAGAAAATATGTTATAAAAATATACTCTATATGAGATTTATTCATATATAAAATTTTTGTTATTTAATAATTATTATGTGTGAATTCCTATGATAAAATTATGAACATAAATATATTTAGAATTAAAATAATATTTAAGGTGGGTGATTACTACAAATCTTAAACTATATTAAAAATTAAGTACATAGTATTTGATATTACAAATTTTTAAGAACTTAGTAAACTACAATAGTAATTGAATTACAATTTTAGAGTCATCACGAATCAGAATTTTTAGACCTTTGAGATTTCTAACTCTAGATGTAGCAACATACAATTGACCTTTAAAGACCAAAATTACAATCTTAGTTCGAACATTGATTTTTTCTTCCAAATACTATCGAATTAAGTGTGTAATCACTAAAAGATGAGAACTAATAATTCGAGAATATAATTTTAATGTTACTAAGCCTACTTCACGTCAATTAAGTTGGAGAGTGTTGTTGGATAGTATCCGATGAATCCACGAATAACGCATTTTTATCTCTGTAGTCCTCAATATGCACATCAACAATCTTAAATATTAGGCCGCCTAGCTATGCCATATATTAATTTCAAACTTATGAACTTTGGGGTTGCATGCAATAAAAAGTATATTTTAAATATACTAAGGGTATAGTACATTATATATGTATGTAAGGTACTTTCAATATAAAAATAATGTATTTTGAATATATTAAAAATGTATTTGATATTTATGATCCATACAATTATGTGGACCATAGTTCACACAATAATTTGCCAATAGAAATTGAAATAAATAAATAAATAAATAAATAAATAAATATATATATATATATATATATATATATATATATATATATATATATATATATATATATATATATTATAAAATATCAGTGGAAATTATTATCATTATTATTATTGCAATTATTATTATTATTATTATTATTATTATTATTATTATTGTTATTATAATTATCAATATTATTATGGTCTTGTGAAAATTAAATGTAGATTATCACCATTTAATTTTCACAAGACCATATGGCTTTATTGTATATAGGATAAGGTCCAAATAAGTCTTCTTTGATCACCTTTAATTTCATCACAAATGTAATTAGATTCTGATACATCATCATTGCATATATATAATGACAATAACATTTGCGCATTTATTTGGGCAACATGCATCAAGATTTGGTTAAGTAACTCTTGAATCACATGTTCTTCCTAATAATTGTTGACTTATTTTTCTCTGTTGATGATTAATTGTATTAAAGTGAGATTTTTACACTCATATAATTATTTTGTCCTGTGCCCTTACACATTTTTCATGGTGGATCTATGGAATAAAAGTTTATTATCAACATTTAAAAAAAAAAAAAGAGTTTATTACCAGCTATAATTGGAATGGACAAAAAAGCCCCTTGATACCCATATATACGAAACTTAAGCCCAGCAAGAATCAGAATCCGATACCGCCAATTCCTTCTGCTTCTTTATCCCCACCTTCAAAGCTCACATGAAGCTCTCTAAACCTCTCTTCTTCTTCTCCTTCATCTTTCTCCTCACTACCGGTGCATATATATTTCTCCGTCATTCTTCTCTTTCCTTCTTCCAATTCATCCCACAATATAAAATGATTCATCTCTTTTTGTTTCTGTTTTCTGGTTTCAGGGAATCCCGCCGGCGTTCATGCTTCTGCAGGCTATAATGGCAGCAAGAAGAACGGAATAAATGGGCTCCGACCGACCAAACTGTTTGTGTTCGGAGATTCGTACGCTGATACCGGGAACAACGGGAGATCGGTGGCGTTTTCTTGGAAGCAGCCTTATGGCATCACCTTCCCCGGCAAACCTTCCGGCCGCTTCTCCGACGGCCGTGTCCTCACTGATTTTATTGGTATGTGTTTATGGTCTCTCCTGTCATGGCATTAAGCAAAACTTGAAAATCATTAAAGAAAGATTTGATTTTTATATGATTATTTACGAACATATATATATGATATTGTAATGTCTAATGTGAAATGGTTTTTACGTTAAATTAAAGAAGCAGTAATTACCTGTTTTGAAGTTACTAGCTAGTATGATGTTTAATTATTGGACCGTTCTGATTGCATAACGCCGCATGAGGTGGGGCCGTGATGGTGGTCATCATGTTCATATACTTTATCTTTTTGCACCTTTCACTTTTTCGTTTTTGGCTAATATAAACGTCCTTTTCCTGCATGGTGGATTGGTGGTTAGTATGTCTAGTATTATCATTAAAGTGACATGTTGTCCGCATAAACAGCTCAGTTGATCAGAGAGGTGATGTAGTGTGGGAGTAATCTTTCAAAGTGCATAGTTCTATTGAGTTATCATGATTTACATCCTCTCAGATGTTCTGTTCGGTTGAGGATTTAATTTTTTCACAACAATAATTAAAGTGATAAGTGTTACTGTTTTCTTTAATATGTGGCTGTAAAACACTAAAATGTACTTGCATTATTGAGGCTTAAACCAACCTTTTGCTTTTTCCCATGCCATATCAGTAAAGGGTAACAATTGCTTTTCTCATAGCTAGATCGGTTCTTCTTTATCCTAAAGTAAACTTAGTATCAGTCAGCACTTATCTTTTACGCCCAAATTAAAGCACTGTTACATACGTTGTCTGTCGGTCGATCTGTGTCATTTTATATATGGTAGCTCTGCTTGAAAGTGGAACTAAAGATGAATATATGGTAAAGACATATATAGGATAAGAATTAAGAAATGAAAAGACATCAAAATTCGTGACATGGTGAGTGTTGACGAACTCACTTTCTTTACCTTTAAAACCTTTCTTTTTTGGGCAAGTAAACAATCCAGTCAAATTGATCAAGCTTGTTAGCTTAGTAACCGCAACAAGATTTCAAATTTGATTTTCAATAGGAATAATTTATTGATCTTCTTGATTTGAGCGGATCAACTATGAGCAGTCTAGGTTGGCCTCAATGTGGTCTCCTTGCATGTTGACTAGGGTCACAATGCAGAGTTAATTTACCTTAGCTCATTGTGATCATTTACTGATTAGGGTTACCAGACTCCTAAGACGACATTTACTGATCACACACCATTAAATAGTAATTTTATGATCCCAAAAAACATAGTCGAGTGAGTGAAACGTGATCTTTATAAGTTTAATTATGTTCATAACACACATTTCTTTGTATCTAATTTTTGGATGTGGTTTGTTGCATGTATGAACTAGTAGCTAGGTTCTTGGGAGTGAAGTCTCCTATACCGTACAAATGGATGAAGTATGCTCCGCGACGGCTGCAATATGGTGTGAACTTTGCATTTGGCGGCACCGGCGTGTTTGATACACCATTTCCGGCGCCGAACATGAACACACAGATCGATTTTCTCCACAAACTGATTAATGATTCTGTCTATACAAACACCGACCTGCAGTCTTCCATGGCCTTAGTTACCCTCGCCGGCAATGACTACGCTACCTATCTAATCAAAAATGGCACCAATGAGGTATATATGCTAACTAAACCCATCCCTTCAATTCATCTAAACCCTAAATTGAACTGTGAATATATATATAGGGTTTGTCAGCATATATAAGCACCGTGGTAAACAAGCTAGCTGCAAACATGAAGCGCCTACATGACTTGGGAGTGAAGAAAGTGAGCGTCACCTCTCTGGAGCCCTTAGGTTGTCTTCCCAGAACCACCGTCCGTTCATCTTTCCGGCAATGCAACGACACCGAGAACATGGGCGTCGCGCTACACAACTCGCTATTGCAGGAAACGGTGGCGCGGCTGAACAGCCAGACCGCCGACTCGCCTTACTTCATTCTTGATCTCTTTAGCCCCTTCATCACCGTCATCAAGCAGCAGAAGAAACTCAAATCTGTAGGTAATTCATTGCATTGCATTCAATAGCTCCTTCATCACCGTAAGTTGTAGTTATTTGTTTCAACAAAAACAATAGTAGTCTCCAGTATCACTACTGGAAATTCTGATATTTCCGACCACCTGAAAGTAATCTTAAATCAAGTGGAAAACCTTCTTCCGACCACTTTTGGTGTCCAGAAAAACCTTTGTGGCTATTTCTGAACACTTTTAGCTTTCAATTTGATTTAAGATCATTTTCAGGTGGTCGGAAATTTTATAATTTCCAGCCGTGTATTTCAGAGAAGAATATAATGTTAGCAAACTTCGTAACCTTAATATTTCCGAATGGTGTGAATTCATGAGCAGAAGGTGGGAGGAGGTTCGAGACGCCATTGAAGCCGTGCTGCATGGGAGTAAGCGAGGAATACAAGTGCTCTGATGTGGACAAGAAAGGGATGAAGATGTACACGATTTGCAGCGATCCAAACGCGGCCTTCTTCTGGGATCACGTTCACCCCACTCAGGCAGGGTGGCGGGCTGTTTATGATGCTTTGAAGGCCACTCTCCATGAACAAGTAGTGTTCTAGCTTTCTGCATGCATGGTTTTCATCAACTTCTCGTATTTTCACTTGCACCCCTAGATTCTTGTTTAGTTTATATTGGCCCCTTTTTGTTCTTATATGAATTCAATATATATGCATGATAGCTAGTTTCGTGGCTCTAGCTTGTTGTCTTAGTATTTATCACTTATCAGGCTTTATTTTCATATTTTGTCCTCTGCATGAAAAAAAAAAAAAAAAAAACCAGAAATAATAAGAGAGATAATTTAGTATTTATCACTTATCAGGATTTATTATGAACATCTCTTGTCAATATTGGCATATTGCACTAGTACTATTTGTATTCTGCAAGATAAAGTTAGTTTAGTCGAATTTGACTTGGTTCTATCGTCATTAAGGAAAAGTTAATTAAAATTTGAAAAAAAATCACATTTTTCTCGTCATTTCCTCTATGCATTGTATAAAGAATAAGGCAAATTCAGCCTAAAAAGGCTGTTCGAGTGGATTGACCAATGTTGCAAAACACGCTAGGTGCCCCCTAGGCGCCAAGGGGGCGCCTAGCGCCTAGGGCGCTTAGGTGCCGATTTTTTATTTTTTATTTTTTATTTTTTATTTATTTTTTATTTTTTATTTTTTTAATTAAAAAGTAAAAATTTTTAAAATTTAGTAATAAAACATAAGGTTTCTATAGTTATTTCTTAGAAATTATTTACGAAAGTGGTTGTAAAAGTGTTCAAAAGATTGTTTAAACCATCTAAATACATAAAAAAAACTAAAATTAAGAGCTAAAGAAGCATTTTTTTGAGAAATTAGTGGACCAAACCGCCTTCGGCGTTTGCGGTGGATAGATCTCGAAAAAATACGCGATTTGAAAAAAAAAATTGTCCAAATCGGACAACCGATTCAAAAGTTATGCCTTCCGAAACTTTTCCGACATTTTCAAAAAAAAAAAAAAAAACCGCCGAACCGCCGAACCGGCCGGTTAGGCGGTCTAGGCGGCCGCGGAGGCCGTTCCTCGCGGCGGCGCAATGGCACCTAGGCGCGATTTTTGCAACATTGGGATTGACCATAACTATCTATCACACCCGAGGTTCATAGGTTTGATTTTAGCTAACACCCTTTTGATCAAGCCTGTCATACAGTGTCTTCATAATGCGCTTTACCTCTTTTATATGGTTTGTTGGATGTATCCTGTGCACACCCAGCACTTTCACATAGTGACTACAGATTTCCGGCTATCATTATCCAAAAAAAAAAAGAAAAAAGAAAAAAGAGAGGAGTCACTCAAATCATCTCAGATGGCTATATTTTTTATGTACTTCGCCGACTTTTTACCAAATTCATGGTTGGAAGGATTATAAGTATACAAAAACAATAAAAGCGTTGTAGTATAAAAATTGTGAAACCAATTAGTGAATAAGGTCCAAATAAGCATTTGTTGATCGCCTCCCTTTCACCATAGATATAATTAGACTATGATATATACCTATTTGCAATATAATGTTGATAACACATGCGCTAATTAGGTGACAACAAGGTTCAATCAAGTAACCCTTGGATTGCATGTTTTGAGCATTTTCCTAATATTCCTCAACTCAGTGCACTCTTCTTATGACTAATTATATTGGACTGAAAGTCTCCCAGACTAGCACAAGTGATTGATCACTTGACCTCATGTTATGGTTGGAGATAGGAGGGAGGGCCTCAAACATCATTGGAGCTGGACTTACTTGAAGTGGGGCTCCTTAGGTAGGAGTTGGGCTCTCCAGGTTGGAGAAGGATGTGGGTTGAGTTTCTTGTGTGCACAGTAAACAAGATTGGAGATTAATTGAAAGTCTGCTTGTGTGACTTGTGATTTACCACATTTAGATATTCTAAGTGCAGGGTCCAACGATTTAGGAATGGTTTAAGGTAAGTTGGAAAAACTATGTATCAAAAGCAAAGTTATATTGGAGTGAGATTTGTGTAGTTATTTTGTCATGCCCTTAACACATTTTTCAGTGTGAATGGAATGGGCCACTGATAGTTGATAGTTGATACCCTTATATACTAAACTTAAGGCCCAACGCTATACTGCGAATTCCTACTGCTTCTTCATCCCCGGCCAGTTCCCCAGGCCACCTTCAAAGCTCTCCGGCCAGTCTCCATCCCTCACATGAAGCTCTCTAAACCTCTCTTCTTCTCCTTCATCTTTCTCCTCACTATCGGTGCGTATTTCTCCATGGTTCTTTTCTTTCCTTCTTCCAATTCATCCCAGAATATATAAAGATTCATCTGTTTGTGGTTTCAGGCAATCCCGCCGGTGTTCATGCTTCCGATAATGACAGCAAGAAGAACGGAATAAATGGGTTCCGACCGACCAAGCTGTTTGTGTTCGGAGATTCGTATTCTGACACCGGGAACTTCCGGAAATCGGAGATATTTTCTTGGAGGCAGCCTTATGGCATCACCTTCCCCGGAAAGCCATTCGGCCGCTTCTCCGACGGCCGTGTCCTCCCTGATTATATTGGTATGTATTATTAATTTTTTTAACTCAAAATGCTAAAGTTTAAAAATTTATTTTTTTCATTTAACTTTTTGGAAAAATGAATTATACCCAATAGCTATCAACTAATTTACCAAACAACTTTCTAACTAATGTCATCAACTAGCTATAACCTTTAATTAATCAAATCAATTAACATCTGTTATTTACCAAACATGGTCATTCTAATGTCAAATGTGAAATGATATTGGTATATATGACATATATTGGTGTCTAACCCCGCGTTGTCCTTAGTGTGTACACATGGGGAAGCTAGCATGATTTTTCTTCATTCTCCATTTGTGTTCACACTCGGAACTAATTTAGTCACGTCTCGGTAGAGTCACATTTGATATAACTTTTATAAAAATATTATTTTATATGTTTATATTTGAAGTTATGAAAGAGACTAATCTAGTTCAGTCTCGATAGAGTTTCACTAGTATCATGTTTATTTGGACCATTCTTATTGCATAACGCGTGAGGTGGATGGGACCGTGATGGGGTCTACATATGCTCATCATCATGTTCGTGTAATTTTATCTTTTTGCATCTTTCAAATTTTTGGTTTTGGGTGGGCTGCCTGCACGACATCCACTCTCAGATCTTTAGTGTCTGGATCGAGAGGTGGACCATACAAATTATTGTTTGGACTAAGGTTCACATAATTGTATGAATCATGCAATATACATTTTTAATATATTAAAAGTATATTATTTATGTATTGAATGTATTTTTAAATAATATACTTTATGTATATAAATAATGTACTTTTAATATATTAAAAATATACTTTTTATTTATAGTTTATATAAATGTGCGGACCATGGTTTATAGAATAATGATTGATCTCATCTCTTGTCATGTTTTATGCTTTTATTGATAGAAAATATAGTAATAAAAATTGTGATTTGATAAAATTTTATTTTTTAATGAATCAGAATATGTTAAAGTGGAAAATAAAAAGTAGAGTATAAATTAAGATATGTGTAGTATTTTAAAATAACGTGACAAGATTGTTTTCTTTAAAACTTGCATTATATGGGAAAATGTAATACTTAAAAAAAAAAAAAAAAAAAAAAAAAAAAAAAAAACTCGATCTATCTCACGGATGAGGATATGTGAGACGATTTCGTAGGAGAATTTGTCAAGGTTATAAGTTTAACTCTCAATGAAAACGGTTTATTGGACTTCTTGACTTGAACTAGTTAACTATGGGATGTCTAGACTGATTTGCTTTCTTGTCAATCTTTATTGGTTAATGTTAGAAAGCTAGATTTATCCCGTGTACATCACTTGATACTGAATATGGTTTGACTATGTGCATAAGACCCATTTAGGGCCAGTTTTTGAAATTTTGTTGCCCCATTCTTATAAATAAATGAGGCCCTATCAAAAGTATAAGTGCAATCTTTAAAACTAATATAGAATGATTTTGCCATGCTCAATTAATTAGATTCTAATTATTAAGAGAGATGAGTAATTTGAGAAAAAACTAATGAGTTTTATGATTAATTAAAGATTTTTTTTTTTTTAATTTCTTAAGTAGCTTGGTCAAAAATAAATATTGAGCCCTATAAAAATTTGAGGCGCTGTACCATTGCCCATCTTGCACGCCTTAAAATCTAGTCCTGTAGACATTTTCTTTGTATTTACATTTTAGATAGATGTGATTTGTTGCATTTGTGAACACAGCTAGCTTCTTGGGAGTGAAGTCTCCGACACCGTTCAGATGGATGAAGTATGCTTATAAGCGTCGGCTGCAATATGGTATGAACTTTGCATTTGGCGCCTCCGGCGTGTTCGATACTACATTTCTTCCGGGGGGGCTGAACATGACAACACAGATTGAGTTTTTCCAGAGTGTGATTGATGCTTCTGTGTATACAAAGACCGACCTGCAATCTTCCATGGCCTCACTTACCGTTTGTGGCAATGACTATATGACCTATCTATTCTTTGGTGGCACTAAAGAGGTATGCTAACTAAATGAAATGCTAAAAAATGCACCACACAGAACAAATATACCACACATAATGATGTATTTTCGAACACTGTGTGATGCATTTATGCATACCTAATGGTGTATGCCGCACGAGAAGACCTGTTTTCGCAGGAACCTGACCCTGTATATATATATTGAATTGTGGATAGGGTTTGCCGGCATATACCAGAAGAGTGATAAACCAGGTAGCTACAGACATGAAGCGCCTCCACAACATGGGAGTCAAGAAAGTGAGCATTGCGTCTATGCAACCCTTAGGTTGTCTTCCTAGAGCCATTGTCCAATCATCTTACCGACAGTGCAACGACAGCCTGAACGAGGTTGCCATGTTGCACAACTCGATGTTGCAGAAAATGGTGGCGCGGTTGAACAGCCAGACCCCCGGCTCCCCATACTTTATCCTCGACCTCTATAGCCCCTTCATCACCATCATCAAGCAAAAGAAACTCCGACAAGGTACGTAATTCATTACATTGCATGCAATGTTTATATGTGATCAAGGTGTCAAACGAGTAGACTTGGTACATTTCATTATGTTGAACATATAGTCATTAATGGGCAATCCAACTATTAGCTTAAACTTTTAAGTTGAAATG